GCTCTGACGTTAGCCCTCAGCTGTAATGGGAACATAGTTCCAATACTTCCAATTTATTTTAAAAGCTGGCAGGGCCACCCATGCGGCCCTCAATAGCTTGTCAAAATTGGGTAAGTGGCCCTCTGCCCAAAATCCTTGCCTGCCCCTGCCTTAAGAGCTCAATGCATGGCTCTGTTCTCATCTACACCACACCCCAAGCTTCACAACTGTTCTCTCTCTTTGATGTTGCCTATTTATACACTCAGGCCCCGTGGTCCTTTATGCAGTCTCCCTCTGGGCTTCTGGGCCTCTGGTCCCACATGCAGCCCTTCCTCTGGCCTCTTGGACTTCTGGTCCTGTACCCAGCCCCTCCTCTGGGCTCCTGAACCCTCTAGTCTGGCTTAGGCCCCTCTGGGCCCAGCCTAGCCACCCGCTGGGAAGAGCCCAGTGCAGCCCCTGGCTCCAGCCCACAACAGCACCCCACCCTGCACAAAGAACCCCCACCCTGCACACAGATCTGGGGTGCAAGCCCCACATGCCCTCCCAGGGTGCATGCAGCAGCAGAAGCTGCCTCCCCTCCACCACCCTGGATGAACTGCATCACCGCCCTGCACCCCACCCTGGCTGTGTAGTGTCTGCCCCTGCCCCAACCCCACTCCCTCCCTCACCGCTGTGGCCTCAATCTGCGCCCTCCTCCCCCACCCCTTCCCTCACAACAGACTTACCAGCCAAACCAGGCTGCTCTTCACACTGTCAGGCTGCACTTCTGGCCGGCTGCATGCTGCACTGCGGCTGTATGCATGCAAGGGGCATTTATCAACCACATTATTGGCCATATCAGCCGATTGCCGATACTATCAATTTTCCTTATATCAGTGCCAATCCAATATGGGACTGATGTATCGATGTACCTCTAGTTATCTGTTCTTTACGTAGGCCTTGAGCCTGCCACAGAAGGTCTCAAGACTAAACCACCAGTGCCACTTAAATAAAAAGAAGCATCACCGCCCCCTAGCAGACACCTCAGTCCTTCTCTGGGTTTAATATAAAACAAAGACCACCTATCTGTAACACCCAGTCTTCCTCTGCCCAGATGACTTGCCTTTATTCCCAGGCCTGCAGGGTTGTTTACACAAATCCAAGTCCCTTCAAGAGCCCTGCTGCTCTGCTGCCAGGTAAAGGCTCTGGGCTTGTATAGCTCAAGCCTAAGCCCTCTGCAGGTCAAGTGAGTCTCTCATTACCCTCCTGCACCACCTGAAAGCAGCCTCTCATGCTGTTTGCTCACTTAAAAGAACAGACACAGACTACAACCTCTGAGCACTATCTCTTTTGCTCATGTGGCTTTCCCTTTGCCTAATGGCCAGCCTATGTTCTTCTGCTGCAACTGCAACATAGCAGGCTTGGCCTGCTGCACTCTCTCTACATCTGGCAAATAGGTGTCCTTGTCTGGTGGGAAGCATGAGAAGTAAGATGTGAATGATGTTTTAGTAATTCGTGAGAATTAGGATGTGTGTGATATAAATATGAAGTTGTTTTGATCTCTGTGTAACAAGGGTCCTGGGAACCCTTAATACTTTGTACTGGGCTAAGGGGTTATGTTCATGCCAGCACCATATCTGCAAATGTCCTGGTTAGTAGTGTGGACCAGCTGGTCATGGAAGTTAGTGGCCAGGCTTGTTTGTAGACAATAAATCAAGCCAAGCTTTTTGTCACTAAGAATGAAAGCCTGTGGTCTCTTTCTTGTAACAATGAGGTTGTTAATGGCACAGCATCACAGATGGTATCCTGGCAATATGCAACAGACCATCCAAGCTGAAGGAGCCTGACTTGATTTGTAGCATCTAACCCCCAAACAGCATTAAGGGAGTCAGATAACAATGATGGAGTCCTCCTTGACAACATGGGTGACTTCTTAGAAACTAACAGATACCAGCTTTTTCATCAGTCCCCAAACTATGTAGCTGATACAGGAAGCTTTGACTGAGAATACCGTTTTGCATTGCCCTTCAGTCAGTCAGCTGGTGCAAATTACAGCAATCTTTCCAATGTTCTGATATTTTGGAAAGGTCCTTAAGGATCAGGCCAGTACCCAGATGGTTCAGGCTCATGAAAACACAGGAGGGCAACTCAACTGTCAGACACAGATTGAGCTCCATTCTTTGTAAACAATGTTTGCAGTGTTTCCTGTTGGCACCGGTATATACAACCCTCTTCGACTACCAACTCTGGAGTAAGCCACATATAACTGTCCATGTGTAAAGCATTGTTCCCTTAAGTAGCTACTGGAAGCCTCAAAAAGGGCCAAGAAAAAAATAACCCACCTATAATTTCCTTTGGGTGGTATTCAGTGGTTATGGAAGGTTTAGTGTAGCCATTCTGGAGTTATAAGCAAACATACATACATACACTTCATTTTATAACAATGAGTAGATAGGACCAGCCATTCTTGAGTTATAAGTGAACATACATACAGACAGACACTTCATTTTATAAATATAGATAAAGCCCATGAATGGTCACGACTCATTGATTAAATATCAGATACCATAAAAGCACAACTCAAAAATGTTACATGTCATTCTTTCAGGAGAAAATGCCATGCTTGGAGAAACTATGCTGTCAAATGGGGTATTCACTAGTTAAATATTTAGGATCTTCTGGATGTTGACAGAAACTCTTGCTAAACTTGATTGTAATCAGACTTTCTCTGTTGACATTATAAAAATGCTTGATAGTCCATAAATTGCATTGTGACCATCATGCGCGTACCTAGCCTCAAGACTTCAGACCTTGAGCCAAGAGTCATCTTGTGTTGATTGATGGCCCTTTGTCACTTAGTTTTATGGGTTACAGCTGTTAGAGACTTCAGAATGAACTACGCCAAACATAACAGCATGCCTTGCTCAGTGAAGCAGGGATGCAGGACTGAGAAACCAAACTGTTCTGTCAAAAAAAAAATACTCTGCTCCAAAAGATCTGTCATACTTCCAAAGCTTTTGACAGGATCCATATTCAGAGCATACCAATATATATTTGATGAATATAGACAAAGCTATCCAGGTTGTTTCCCTGACATTTAGAAAAAAAATCTAATCTTTCATATCATTCTTAAATAATTCACATATCTCTTTTATGTAGGCCTCTCTTTGCTGGATGTTCTATAAAAGAAACAGCTGTCTCTGCATTGCAACAAAGAGAAATAAACTGCTCTGTTCATGGTGGTCAGTAGCAGAAGTTGTCTTCACAGGTGGTGTATAAGAATTGCTAATGTTTTAATGGCAGTGATGTTCAAGATCAAGTTTAACTGAAAAAACTTATTTGAGGATTGCAATACTTCAAAAATATGTTACCGGTAATATTGTACCTGAGGGCTGGTATGTATTATGCACTGGGGGAATTTTCTTAGTACGCATAATCAGACATATTACTAATCTTTAAAATTCATCCAAGATATTTGCTTGATGACGTTCTGTGGCAATAAATAAATCTTAATAAAATATTTCCATGTAATTTCATTAAACATCCCTCTGTTTTCATGTCATTCATATGATATATGACAAAGTATAAAAATACAGACTGATCAGATATTGCTGAGTACTCTGCAATATCTGAAAACTTCAGTCAGTTTGGGGTCTGAGGGCCCAACGCAGCTCTTACTGAAGTCAACAAGACACTTTCTTTTGCCTTCAATAGAAGCTGGATTTGATATTAAAAAATTAATGAAAGGGCAAAGATACATCACTACCAGTCCAACATGGTTGAAGGCTAAAGACCCCAGCTAAAGAAAAAATATTTCCCACCCTCCAAGAGGCTATTTTCCTAAAGTTTATTAAAGATCACAATCGTGGAGTGGGGGCCGGGAGATTGTTCCCTGACCCCATTCTGCGGTAGTGGAGTGAGGACTAGGAGCTGCCTGCTGCTGGGGCAGGGGGACATTGACTCCACTCAGGCACAGCCTGCCCTAGCAGCAGGCAGCTCCTAGAGGCAGAGAGCAATCTCCTGTCCCCTTCTGCCTGACTGACAGAGCAAATCTGCTCTCAGTCAGCCATCTGCACATGCCTTACTGCGCAGTAATTACTCAGCAGTTTATTTGCTACTTGCATTTTTAGGTAGAATATTAACTGCCAAGTAGAACAAATTACTGCACAGTAAGGGTCTGCACATGTAGACATATATGCCTATTACACAGTAATTTGCTCTACTGTGCAATAAAGTGTCTTGTGTAGATGCATCCTTTGGCCACTAAGTTTCCGGACTCTTGGGGATCCCCGTAGGCTGAATGAGATGGGGCTGCTGGCCAAATCTGGTCCATGAGACAGGGGTTGAGCACCCCAGGTTTAGCATCAATGAAGCAAGGTACCCAGAAACTTCATTTTTAGGACCCAGAAAGTGATCCGGGATTTGTTACCCAAGGAAGGAGACCTAGTCCATCTCTATTACAACCCTTTGAGCAATAAGACACCCTTCCTTATATGGGTAATACAGATCTCCTTCGTGGCAGTGACTCTCTTTACATACACTCATAAAAATTTTGTTCAGTTAAATACACTGCAATGAGGGGAAGAAAGGCTGTAAAGATTGTAACAGGCTTTCTGCCAGTGTGAAAACTAATTTATTATTACCACCACCATTCTAACAAGAACTTGCATTAGCGATGGAATAGTCTCCTTCCTTGGGTAAGAATAGGTATTTTCCTCACACCTAGCTGTTCTACTTGGGGAGGACAGCTTTAACTTACTGTTGTGGTACCTTAACCCATCTTCTGAGCACCCTAGCTATGTTTGCAATACACATGTCACGATTTATGTAATGGTTCTTCTGTTACCTGAACATAAAAATCCTATATCTTCTGAATCTTTGCATCTTTCTAGCAGTATCTTTGCATCTTTTCTGCATCTCTAAGTTTTAAAATATTCAGGAAAGACTTCTCACTTTCTTTTTCCAGACAGCATCAGAATCAGAATAGTAGAGGTATTAGTAGAATTTCAGAGCCAAAGCCAACAAGGGATCACAAGTTCAACTTTATCTAAAGGTAGCTGTTTAATGTTTCACATGCAACAGTAGAAGTTTAACAACTCCAATCAAATGTTAGTAAAAAGACAAATAAAGTTAATCTTTGGTTGGCTAAACATGCTTCATCTGTATTGATTACTGCAGCCTTCATGCAGAGGAGTCTCAGCTTGAACAACAGATGTCTCACTTACATAAAATGCCATTTAATTGTTCCACATGAAAGGTCAAGACGTTTTAGTGCCTACAGACCCACAGGATTGGACTTGATCGCTCTGTCATCTGGAGCACTGCAGAACCCAAGAATTAACTGTTCAAACTGTAATCTTTAGCTGTGCTAAACTCAGGATTTGAATGGTTCTCAGAAACCAATAATATGATTGCTTAAATAAAAAAAAAGGGAACACCATAATTGTAGTCTGAAGGTCCTTGTGAGCACTGCCTTGCTTTGGATCTGTGAATACGGCCACATAACTTAGGAATAGCCTTATCCTACTTGGAAAAAGAATTACAAATAGAATGAGATTGTTGGATTATATTTTAACGGTGCCCCACAATATTAGCACTGTTAGTAGGGGTGTGCAAAGTGGACCCTATTCAATCGGATTTGGCCTGAATCAGGGACAGTGATTCAATTCATTGATTCAGATCACTGTCCCTCATTCGATTCGGCTGAATCCGAATCTGAAGATTCAATGCTGATTCAGAGAATCAGATTTGGACAGCTTTAAATTTTTTTCTACATACCTCAAGGTACCAGCACAGCTCATGAACACTGAGATGCTGGGGCAGATGGAGAGTCTCACAGGAGTGTGGGGGGCTCCCCACATGCTCGGCAGCAAACCTGGAAGCTGACCGGAACTACTTCCGGTCCACTTTCAGGTCCACTGGGGAGCACACTGTGGGCCCCCCCATGCACCCCTGGTACAGCGATCAGCCGCAGGGGACCCCAGGTGCCCCCCCTCAGACCCAGAAGTCACTAGTCGCTGAGCCAGGGGGCACTGGGGAGGGCCCCTGCACGCTCCCTGGTGGACCCAGAAGTGAACTGCCAAGGACGCTGGGGAGCCCCCCGTGCTTCTGTGGGACACTCCATGCACCCCAGCATCATAGCATTCACAAGCCACCTGCTACTTTGAGGTATGTAGAAAAAACATTTAAAGCTATGTCTATGTCCGAACCGCCAAATCTTTCCAAATCTCTCCAAACAGATTCAGAAGGTTCCGATTAGATTCAAGAAGATTAAGTGTCCTCTGATTCAATTTGGATTTAGAGATTCAGCCACTGAATTGGGCCAAATCTCCGCTGAGTCGAATCAGGGTCCAAAGCTTTGCACAGCCCTGTTAAGTGTGCAAACACCTACATGTGATTCACAAGATACACCCAGAGATTTTGAATAGGAATTAATAGGATCAAATATTCTGACCTGTTGTGATCTTTCAAGTACTTTGCAACAGAAGAATTTCTCTATTATTTCTCTGTAGCCAAGGAATGAGTGAAAGCTAAGTTGGCATTTTCCAAGGGGGCCTTTGAGTCTAAAATGTTTGAGAAGTACTGCTCTAGAGGAAGACTATCATTTGTGCCAACCATTCCCTTACATCAGGATGGATCTGGATGGAAGACAGGAGTGTATCAGGAACAGGCTGGGGGTGGAGTTATATGGGAAGTGCATGGCAAAGCAGAACTTGACTATGTCAGGTCTTCCTGTAGTATAAGGCCCCATTATAGTCCTAATGCCAGTGATGGGAGTCAGAGTAGACGTTATGCTCCTCTGACTTATAACAGGGTCATGCAGGAGGGATCAAGGAGTTTCGGCTGATGTGCTACAGATTTTGCTTTCCAGTGCCTTTGAGCGTAGCTTTATATAGAATCAGGACCCCCCATGAACAAAATAGGAATGCTGGTAGCAAGCCATGGCTAACAAGAAGCATGAGGAGATAGAGGTCCTCACTCTGCCTGAGATCCATCTGCACAGACCCTTTATCAAGTGCTAAAGAGGTCTGTATGGGCCTGCTTGGGCAAAACCCTTTGTAGAGCTGGGTCCAGGGTTAGTTAATGTCAGGGTTCTGGATCAGTTGGACTTTCTTCCCCGTTACTCTATCATTCATCCACCCTGCTACTCTTTAGAATAAAAAATATTTTGAAATATAAAAGGCCATGGTGTGGCTTTCTGCACCACTGAATGGTGCCTGGTATTAATAGGAGACTATACATCCCATTTTGGCCAGGACACTCTTGGATTCTGTAGGCCAGTCCTGGCCAATTGGTCAAAAGTCCTGGGCTGGAGTCTGAGTCCGGCAGGGAGGCAGAGTAACATGGTGTACCAGGCAGATGGCCAGGCAGGCACCATTGATGCTGTGCAGGAGAAGGGTGGAAAAACTGGGGCAGGGGCTACCCTGCCCACATGTGACATGTCCTTGCTTCCACGCAGCAGCATTGGTGCCTGCCCGGCCACCTGCCTGACATACGATGCTGCTTCTCTCCACCGATCTCTCCACCGGGCTCTAGCCTGGGACTTCTGACCAACTGGCCAGGACCAACCTATGGAATCCAGGAGTGTCCCAGTGAAACCAGGATGTATGGTCACCCTAGGCATTAAGCAAGTGACTCTGCCTGTTTGAAAAGCAGATCGTAAAAAGGAAACACCTAGCAAATCACCTCCTTTTGTAAATTTGAGTTCATACTGGTGTTTAAAATTTGTTTCCTACAAATCATTTGCAGCACTATTCCTTCTAGAACTTTATCCTCATAAAAACTATATATTCCAGAGTTTTATGGAACTGTATGTAAGAAAAGCAAATGGGTGAGGGGCAGCCTGTATGCATCATTCCTATGACATAAAACAGTGGTCAAAAGGTTTTTACTGTGAGATTCATAAGCAACTTATGTAATGGAATACTCTTTCTCTGTGTCTTCATAAATACCATCAATCTATTTCATTATAAATCAGATATTCTAGTTATGTTATTTCCCCAGGATATCCAGTTAATGCTTAATGCTGCTCCCATTAATGTCAATGGAATTTTTGCCATTAACTCTGTAGACCATGAATTGGTCTGTGCAGCATGACCTATGGGTGACAAACAGCACTATAACTAGATCAAACATATCAAACTATCCAAAGCTTAACCAAATTGCAGGGAAAGTGTGGATGTCAGGCTTAGCTATTTTCAGGGAACCTGAGTTAAAGCTGAAGACATATGACTGAACAGCAAGCTAAGGGCCTGTATCCTAAATACTCTGTATTACAATCGCACCCTAGAACATTAATAACTAAGGTGACCAAATATATTACTAGTTATTTTGCTATAATAAAGCTATTTTTGTTAACAGTTTCAAACGATTATAGTCACAAAGGCAGCCTTGAAGATGGAAAGAGCAAAGCAGCCTTGTCAGGCCACAGGCCATAGTTAATAAATAACTGACCAAGGCCAAGGGACAAGCCAAAATGGGAGATAAGAAACCTTTTCTTCTGCTATCTCAAAAATATAAATTTCAATTGATTAACAAGCTCTTGATTAAAGTAAAGATTACCAGATGATTAATAGACGAGTCAGATGACCTTAAAAAAAAGAGCCTTAGCTAAGGTGATCCCTTGACCCCTTTCCCAGAGCCACTAAAATCTGGTTCCATCCAGTTTAAACAATCCAAGTGAAACAAAGAAATTTAAATAAAACCAATCGGAGATTAATAATTAGCATGCCAAATCAACCATCTATAAGTATTGGGCCTGGGGCAAGTGACAAATTGGACCTTTCCTAAAGCCCAGCAGAAAAAAAACAACTCAGTGAGACTGCCCAGGAAAGCAGACCTGCTCTTCCTGAATCCAAGGCTATGTAAGCATTGTCTTTATTAGTACCAATAAGTCTTTGCTATTGTGTGTCCTGATAAAGCTTTCAAGTAGTGACTGGAATGGTTTCATTGATCACTTCTAACCACAAGTTAAATCAAGGGGGGAAACTTCAGTAGGAAATGGGATTGGACCTGCAGAAACAGTCTCTTTGCTATATTGATACACCCCTGGTGTTGTCTGCATGTTCAATATTCTGTATGCTTTGTAGTCCAAATAGTCTATGACTGTGTCTAATCACTGGGTTTTTAATGTTACTGTCATTAGCTGAACATAGTTTTAATACTTTACAGGATTATAAATAATGGTGACTTTCCTCCCACCTTGCATCCCACAGTCTAACTTCATGAGGGTTCTTATGGCCTATAGTTTTTTTTATAAGTGACTACTATGCCATCTGAGCAAGGGCACCAAAATCTGTAAATGTTTATTAGAATTTTCTATTTTGTCCCCCGTGGTTCTAAATCAGATTTAATTGACTAATTCTTTTTTATCCCGCCTACTGTATGCCTGACCTATTATTTTTACAAAGGAATTCCCAGAAACAATACTCAAAACCAAAGGTGAGATCCTGGTGCATGTCATCTTCATATTGTCTTTCCAAAAGTACTAGGAAAAGCTGCAGGAGTCCAAATCTACTTTTTCACCTGAAGATTCATGCTCACAGTACCAACATTATATATTAATGTAGCTGTGCCTCCAACACATGCAACGCCTAGTCAGTTTTATATAAACCATAGGTTCCAGTACCCATTCCACAAGAGAAGGATCCTTAAGTAAAAAAATCTCCACAAAGTGAAAGTTAATGGGGTAAAAGTGCTTTACTGAATAGAAATGGACTTCAGCATGTGCTCAAGTGCTTTGCTGAATTTTATCACTCCATCCATCACCCTTACCCTTACTATTTTACTTAGTATTTAGTTTAGTTATGTATAAATGTATCTTATGTTACCCCCCCCTTGGGTTCAGAAGTGTTAAGCAGAGAGGAACGGGGCCATTCCAAGCCCAAGAACACCAGACCCAGGGAGCTGGGTTGGACTATGACCCCCAACCTGCTTCAGGACCTGCCAACAAGATGCCACCAGCCAATAAGAGATGGAGTAGGTGGGGTTATGTAAAGCCCATGAAAATAAAAAACAGGGGACAATGGTTTGATCAACAGCTTCCAGGCTGCTTTGAGAGCTAGCAGAAGTGCAGGAAAGGGGGAGAATGAAGCTGTAACATGGTGGCCTTTTGCCCATAGCAGTGTGGATTGAGCAGGGGAGAGCCCTTGCTCCTTGATGTGCTCCAAACACCATTGATAGAGACCCCAGGGAGATTGTGGAGAAGTTTGGTCTGAGTACAGCTGGAAGAAGGATCAACTTCCACATAGAGGAGACCGCAGCAGGGAGAGAAGATGACTGCTGCTACAGAGCAGGACCTGAGTGAGCTGCTCTGAAAAGG